CTCCACGCCTCCGGTGTAATGCCACCATGGAGGACAGAATTAAAGAGCTTCTGAAGGACTACAAGTACCGGTCTTCCACCCGCTTTCAGAAGCTCCGCTGTAATTCCATCCTCGCCTGGGGCCTTGCCGTTTTTAAGGTGCTGGAGAGCCATCCTAATCTCGCTCAGACTGACATCCGGGATATCTTCGGAATAGTGTCGGATGAGACTCGCTCTTGGATCGTTACTCACACTTGCGTGTGACTCCAACGATGATGTGTACAGCTGCCCATAGAACCTCTCAATCTCACTCAAAATCTCAGGTGTCCCGGAAACGATGCTGCCACATTCTGTCTGTGAGACCATGTTGTCTGCAAAATAAGTTCTCCTTAATCACAACTAGCGACATCTGGTGGATTACATTAGTTAAATGTGGCGACTTTTGGAAGCTGATCTAGCGACTTCAGTTCTTCAGGTCACTCCTGTGAGAGATCTTGTGAGAAGAAGCGACGAGAAGACTACTTTATTCCCAACAGTTAAATTTAAATTGTTTGCACCAGTCAAAAATCTAAGTGTTTAAAGCTTATTATGAAGCTTATTATGTCCACGCAGTTGTCTTTTATTTAAATCTAATTTTCGCTTTATTCGCTGTGTATGAACGCTTTTTGTATGCACCTTGTATTTATGTAAAGGCAAATCCGTAATACCTATATTTTGTAATCTTGTTGTAAATTGATATTACGTCTACCCAAAAATTAGCCTGCAGTTTTATAAGGCCTGGTATTTATATACAGTATTAGATACAGTATTTTGAAGTCTTCAGTGATAAGCTTGAGTTTCTTTTTATAGAATAAGATATATAATATAATGATTAAGGAGCACAAAGTCCACCTGATGGTAAGTGGTTGTTATGGCCTTTAGACACCTACATGTATCATCGATGAAGAATCAACTCACATGCGTTGTCACCCCTGAGGACTAAGATGGAATGCGTCGTTACCAGTGAAAACGGTCTCCGGTTCTCTGCACTCACCATACGAAACACATTGATTGTGTTTCACGCTGGTATTTTTTGAGAGCGTGGTCCTAACCCGGTCGTTGTGACCCATTCTGCTGCTGTCCTGGTATCGTATGGCTGCAACGTGGCTTCGTCACATTTTAGACACGAAAATGATATAGAACAACAAGTAAATGCAGGACACAGAGTAAATTTGCGAAATTATCAAAGATGGATCAAACTAAGTACCCATAAGAGACGAGCATGTATGGTGTACATAGGCGTAGGTATATGGACGTGAAATAGGCGAGAGGTGTGTCAGGTTCGTGCCAAAGTGAGGTCCGTAGTCTCTGCCCACCCCGCAGGGTGACAAACGCACAGATGTGTGTTTACGTCACGTTATTTATGTTTTATGTTAAAATAAAATATTTCGAAGACAGAAGCGTTAGTTGATATCAGGGCTATTTAGATGGAACCAATGCGTACAATAGTAAAGCCATCGAGAAGCACAGGAAAGATTTGTACCTATCTCTATTGTTTTTTAACTTTAACAACTCCTTTGCGGAATCGAAGTAGCATCAATGCTGGCTGGTATATTACCTAAATGCTTTCTAGAAGTGTTCTCACTGAAGTGAGCAACAAGCATCGGCTACTGATTCATGTTAAGACTCTGACTGACTGATCATAACATGAGTTCCCAGACAGGACACCGGCTTAGCTTGCGCATCCCAATTTTTCCGTCAGTTTCTTTTATCACTCTTTCAATCAGCACCTTATCAAACAGTTTTCCCACAATGCTAAGCAGGCTGATTCCACTGTAACTTCTTAGTTATGCATGTTTCCTCCGAGCACGTGGTAAATCAGTACTTAAAATTGCAATTAACAATTTCATTGGTACCGACGGGAAACGAACCGGGGTTGCTCGCGTACTGTGAAATTTACAGCAAGCCCTTAGCCTTTTAGCTACCACGGCTCTCTAAATAAATAAATGAATGACGATAATAATAATATAGCTACTGTATTCTATCATATAGACGATTTCAGAACCTATCTATCCCGGTTGTAAAAGAATATTGACTTAAATAAATAACTCTTCTTTTTTCCGTCGTATTTTCTGTTTTTTTAGGTCCGAACACATATTTCCACTTCCATTTGGATTTGTGGATCTCAGGTACGATGCCGCACTAAGAACCTACAAGCACAATTGTGGACAAATTAACCTTATGGCATGCAGACAAGTAGCAAACAAGAGAGGCATCACCTACCTCACATCAGTAGCCGCGTTTTCCAAAATACTGCTTCCTTTGAACAAATATCAAATTCGAACTGATACACTCGCACTGGACACTGATTCTTTTTAAACATCTGATTACTATAGTGGTGCGAAGACGGTGGCTCACGTCCTACTTTTGCACTGTGGTTAAGTACCTCGGAGTGCCGAAATCTTTAGCGACACCAAAAGGTTATTAGAACTGCTCAATAAGCTAGGGTGGCCCAAATATTATTACTTACCACTACAAGCTGTATCTCGAAAGAAATAGTAGTCGAGAAAATCGGAATAGAAGAGTGAACGAACATTTCCAAGGCACAAATAAAAACATAAGAATATTTTATTATAGTGTCTTAGTCATAGTCCTTAAGGCCAGTTTGTGGAAAAATATCACAAAAACAACTCTCCAGAACTCTGAAATACCATGTTAATTTTCTTTCCGAGTAGACTTTAAGGGTTTGTATTAAAACACTACACACTAACTGCTTCAACACATTATAATATTTTTAATAAATTTAATAAAACAAATGGAGTGTAAGTTTTGCGAATGTACCTACTTTTAAAATTTAATTTGTTATTATATTCAATGTTACATATTTATTATTACAATCTTTGGTTGTTAAAAAACTTGACATAAAACGATTACGATTTAAAACAAATGTTATAAGACATTTCATTTCATTTACTTTAATTTCAATGCTAATGCTCATTTTATTGTAACTAGTTATTGAAAGCCACATTGTAAAATTTTCATTTAAACTTGAAAATTTATAAATATTCTAAAAAAATTTATCAATTTACCTTACGGTACTAAAATTATAATTCATCTAATGGATTCCATACACGATCCAGTTTACCGTCAAGTGCAGTGCATCCATATAAACCAATCACATTCAAGTTCGCCGTCAATTTTGCATGATGCTGCATCAGTTGTAACCATGGCGTCTCTCGCTTATTTGCTCCGACTGCCGTCATGCATACTTGACCACCCATACACACATTCCAATTTGCATGACGCTGCAAGCTTGATCAAGTCGGCAGAATCGAAATTCAATTTTTACTTCAAGTAGAGTTGTCATGCACACTGATAGCCATACACTGTCAAGTTTACCGGACGCCGCTTCAAGCGCGCTGCAAGCTTGACGGTAAACTGGATCGTGTATATGGCACCCCTTACGTTAATAAAATTATAAGTAAGATTAAATGTGTAAATCGGGTATAAAATTTGAAATACTTTTTAAACAGTAATTCCCTTTACGAAGGTGAATTAATCTTAATATTAGAAAAAAAAACGTAGGGATCCATTGCTTTAAGCAAAGACATTAATACAGGAAATATAGTTAAGCCATTGTACTCTTATAATTACTACCAAACATCCTATCAACTTCTAGCTAGCCCTGGGTATGCAACACAAGTGTGTAAAATCATTTTACCGAATCAAGTGTGTGAAAACACATAACACTAACATGCTGCACATTACTAATTTAATGGAGAAATATTTTTCTCCATTATTTATTGAACTCATTATTTAGAAAAAATCCTTCTTTAGTAAAATTTATCAATTTGAGAGTAAAATAAAGTGAGTTGGAAATAGATGAGCCGTATCTTTAAATAAATAAACAGAAAAATTTCAGGTTTGTGTGATAACACAAATGTGCAATGAGTTGTCAGTGTGCCAACGCAGAAATGTGCAGCTAAGTTATGTTATTGCACCAATTCAAGAATTTTTGCAGACTTACCAGGCCTACTTCTAGCCTATTTAAAAAAACCTACTCAAACAATAGATGTCTGATTATAAATAATTTTATTTATTCTCATTTGTCTCACAAACAAAACATCAAACTCCGCACAGAGTACTCCTGAGAGACAAACAAGTTTGTGTTTGTCATTTAGCATTGGCACAAACTTGAATGACAAAAATTTTTTCTGGCTTTATTTAAGAGAAATATTATGAGATCATCACCGATAATAAAATATCAATAATCTACTAATTTTAATGTTATTACATCCTATATATCCAAGATTAAAATCTTGGATATATAGTCTGAAAACAATTCTGATGCCTTATAACTTGCTACATATTTATTTATATAAGCCTGATACTATCTTTAACTACTGCATACAAAGAATCTAATTTATAACTTCTTAATTATTTGTTTTTAATCCAATCATCAAGCATGAAAAGAAAAAATACAATAGTATGAATATATATAATTTGTTTATTATACTATTACAATTCCAAAATTTCATTTATATTGTATGAAGTAAATATGACATCTTCTATTCTATAATTACATTATCGCATCTGGTCATTAAAATTTTCTACAGTTCATTTTATCACAACTTGTGTAATATAAAATTTATAAATCGCTTGAACATTCATAGTGTACAATTTTAATTAAATTTGATTCATAATTCACATAAATTGTTATGGCTAAAATTCTCTCTTTCACCACCTTGATTAATTATGAAATAAATTAAAACTATAGGTCTGACTTTACATAAATCATATATAATTCAAAATAAATGATAGGTGGACATTTCTTATGGAATTTATATTTCATTTGAATTTTTACAACTATCTTAAGAATAAAGAAAATAAAATATTATAATAAATTATTTAATAAATTGTAATTATCAACATTTATTATAATACAATTTAAAAACTAATTGATAATTTAGGCAGTCACTTCACCTCTTTCTTCGTAGGCACAGTCTTTTCTGCAGGTTTATTTGCTAAAGGTTTCAACATGGATCATTTTTTCTTTCTGTCTTGTGTACATTTGGGGCAATACCACTTTCCTTTAGGTTTAATTTTAAGATCGACACATGCAAAATGGAACCATTCTATGGGGCAATCAGGATTATCACAACCAATCATCTCACCATATGATACTTGGTGACACAGACAATACGTAGGTTCATTAGGATCTACAGGCATGTCAAGAACATCACTAGGATGTGCCATGCCAGCCACAGAATCAAGGTCTGCATTTTCTTCCTGTTCTTTGACAGCATTAGTTGCAGTTGTTGCACCTTTCCTCTGTGCCTTCTTTTTGGCGGCTGATCGACCACTAGCTACTGCATCATCTTCGCTGGAAGCACCCGCACGTTTCTTCTTGCCTGTAGATGTGGCAGCCTTTTCATTACCTTTATGTTTCTTTCTGCCCTTTTTGACAGTCGTAGTACTAGTCTCCTGCTCTGCGGCAGCCTGTTGGGCGGCACGCGAGCTCATTACTTTCTCTTGAATTTCAGTTTCAAAGCGTGCGAGGTCAGAATCAAGGCGCCGTATGTGTTTATCGACTAACTCATATGTCTGTATCGCTAGCTGTACTTTATCGTCTCCATACTCTTTGGCCTTATTAAATAAACCCTGGATTGTATTAACCTTTTCCTTTTTGGTTTCATCGTCCATTTTAGGAATATTCGGCAATAATTCGTCGGCCATAAGATCGATTGTCCTCATTAGACCGTGCGCTCGATCGTCGAGATCCCGCATTAATTTGAAGTTCCTTTGTAATTCTATTGGCAGATGTTGAAGACTATCTAAATAATGCTCTAAATAAAGTGCTGAAGTCATATTGTAATAATTTGTAACGACTCCACTTTAAAGTTAAAAGTTGTCGCTCCAAAAGAAATAATCAGAAATTACCCAATACTTATTTGATCTTTCGATAGTTCTTCATTAATTCACTCAAAATAAATTGAACATTTACAACTATTCATTAATGAAAGTAAAAATACACATTTTATTTATCACTCAATACAATTACAATGATCTAGTAGGTATTTAAAATCTATGAAATGTTGAAAAGTTGAAATGAAAGCTAATGCTAAACCATAGGCTACGACCAAAGAGTTGTTAGTTATTACGACTTACGACTCGCCAATTAAGGCAAGCATAAGTTTTGTACCATACAGCCTAGTCGAATTTGTTTTGGTCACAAAAAATCTTCACAATGTGCTGATTAGCCACATTACCTAGTTACTATAAAATAGCATCTCTATGTTATGTGTGACATTATTTTACAAGACATGAGGTAAATAAATAAATAAAAAGTATTTATTTGCCACAAATCGATACAATGTTCAAATTTAAATAGACAGCTTAACCTTTTTTGTAACAAAGAGGTCTGTGATTCAGTTGTAACGGAAAACCCATTACTCCTGCTATTCTGCTCCAGCCTTTGCGCAGTATCCATACAGGGTCTTAGGCAAGTGATGAAACACACGTATTAGCAATAAATTAATAAATAAAAATTCAAAGAATATATTATAATAGTTATTAAAATACGAAATACAAAAATGTTGATTAACTTGACGGGATATCAGAGCCACTTAGAGCCAGGGACTGTTGTTGAATCAGTCAGGTCTTTAATCTATAGTGATTTCGTTCTCAATGTTAGCAACATTCGACTTCGATATACTTGTTTTCGTTTATTTATCTTTTTTACTACTGTATTATACCGGGTTTATTTTGCAATAACCAGTGAAATTTGCAGAAGAGGTTGTCGTGAAGCGACAATAAAAAAAAAATAAAAAAAATAGAACCTAACCTAAGTACAACAAAACAACAAAGGTAGAGCCAGAAAACAATATATTTAAATTTATAAAAGGTATTTACAATTCTATAAAAAAAAATGATGTGAGGATGATGATGAATGAAGTGAGAATACAATTAGATTATAAAAAAAATAAAGGTGAGAGAATAGGGGAATATAGCGTTGAAGTGGGGCCTAAAAGTCGAAGCGACACACGTTGCGTTTGTAGAAGTAGGTTTCTTAGCAGCGACGGCACGCAGCGCCTGAAGCCAGCACACGCCGTTTGCGCTTGTAGAAGTAGGTTTCTTAGCAGCGACGGCGCGCAGCGCCTGGAGCCAGTACACGCAGCGTCCGGAGCCGGCGCACGTAGCGCCTGGAGAAGGGGCGCGCAACGCTTAGAGCCAGCAGTTGCAGCGCCCAAAGGTAGCGCCGGCGGTAGGTGCACTCGGCGCCTGGAGTAAGTAGTAGTAGTGCCCGGAGTAGTGTGGCCCCCGCGCTTGTAGTAGACTCGAAGCGACTTCCGAGGTAGATGGAGGCTTGTAGGATTCCGGAGTGGCGCGGCCCGAGTTTGAAGAAGGCTTCGCCGAAGACTTCACGTGTAAATGGAGGCTTGCAGGATCCCGGGGCAGTGCGGCCCCGGGATAAGGCCTTTAGGAGATACTTCTAATTCGCGAACTGAAGCGAGACTGCCTTTCTTCACCGATTGTTCGGCTTTTATACCTTTCTAGAGAGAACGGAAAAATTATTTAAATTATACGCAAATTTTTTGTAAAAGGTCAAGAGAAAAGAGGATTTATGTGGAATTATCGAAATAGGAATAACAGATCGGTAGCAAATTTGAATATAATTACCATGAGAACGATATAAATAACAAAGACAAAACATGTCAAATTTTGGTTTTAGGTTTATAATAAGAAAACTATAAGATTTAAGTGGAAAATGAGATATTATTGATATAGGAAAAAAGGTAGCGCAGCTGCCCACACAAAGCTCGAGATTGTAGAATTACGGAAAACTAGCTAAAAGATCGAAAAAAGGTAGACTCCATTGACACCAATTTAAAAGTGCTGATAATGTGAAAATACGAAGTAGAAATGATTTGTTATTGTGTTCTTATGGTTTAAAATCGTTACAGGATCCTATGGAAATAAAGGTGATGTAAAATATTCAGTTTTGAGGTGAATGCAGAAAATCGAAACAGAATGGAAAAATGAATTTAAAATAATGTAAAATGATACGTGAGTAGCATAACACTACAAGGTGCAGAAAAGATAATATAAACGAATGATAAAAAAATAAGAAAAACCTCAAACGCAAAGCCAAAAAGGACAAACTTTATTTCTTTTATATTCAAAATGTGTGGAAGCTTAGAGTAATTACACATAGAGTGATAGTGACATTCAAAATTCCGTTCAAATTTGAAGCAACAACACAATAAATGTGTACATAAGCGGCCTGTAATTACGTTTGCCCACACGCACACAAGCAAATAAGTAATGTTTGCAAGTTAATGACATTTTCCCCAAAAAGTGGGGAAATTAATATGTAGGTTGCGTTTATAATTATTTATTAACTATTTGCGAAGAAAAAATGTAACATTATTTATTTTTGTTAACTTATGTAATATTTAAATTATTTAAACATGTAATATCTTGTGTTATATTTCCAAATCTATTATGTAATCATATTATTCTGTTAGAAGTGGTATATTTATAATATCTGTTATTTATCATCCATAAAACCTTCTATTATTTGAAAATATTTATTTTTATATAATACTCAATGGCCTTATTCTATGATATATAGAGAAGTGGAAGAAATGGAGGAGGTAAATGCCCACGTCTATTTCTTCCAGTTTTTCCAATCCAGTCCCACTTACACTTAACAAGTGAGTAGTCGTCAGATAATCATTTAGCTGTCAGATATTTTTTCATTAGTTATTCCTTACTAACTGTGGCTGTGGCCCGCGGCTTCACCCGCATATTAAAGCATACACTGATCTTGATTCTTGCCATTCTAAGAATCTACGTGATATATTTAATTTAAACCGGATTCAACGTAAAGGTTACAACATACAACTTTTTACATACAACTTTCACAGAATGGATATAATATTAGAAGGAATCACGAGACTTAAGAGTGCGGTCAGCTTCAAGTGATCATTATTATTACTTTATTGGATATTATGTTTTGCATTAAAACAAAATAAGAATCGGAAGGAGATAAACTATTCAACTAAAACATGCAATTAAAAATGTTTATTAAATAATATAAAATAAAATATACCCAAGTACTTAAAAAAAATCTCTTAATAACCCTGAAACTGCAATTGTTTTCTAAACAACTACCGCTTTGATGACGCTATCCTCGAAATGTTATCTTTTTAGATTCATAAAAAAATCGAACTAAAATAGTTAAATATATGTAAATTACAATATAGGCTATGTTATTTATCCTAAAACACATACCGTAAAAAGATAAAAACAACTGCACATTATCAAAACAAAATAAAATCTACACGTTTTTTTTCGTGGCAAATGGGAACCCTAATAATATTTGGCAAATAAAAATACCTATTTATATGTGAATGAGACTATTAGCAGTATGTATGTATTTTTTCAATATGCACTTTTATAATTATAATAATAAGAAAAAATGGGGTAAAATATTTTACTATGCCTAGCAACATTTTCATTATATTGGCGTCTGTCAAATTTATTATTTATTATTTTCTTTTGATGAATGTTTTTTACAAAAATATAAGATGCTAGGCAGTACTTAACCGTAAAATGAGATTTTTACATTTTTTCGTGATTATGTGATGAGTTATGACACCCTTTCACAGTACAGTACGTCATTTTTTTTTGAAAAATTGTGCGAGCCTCTTTAAACGACTACGTGGACTCGAGTACTAACGCGTCAAAAGTCGTACTTAGCCTTTAAAGGCTAACTTGAAATGGCTTCACTTTGCGTGCGCCTACTGCGGTTCTAAGCCTAATACTTCTATGTGTGGAAGTGCAATATTTTAACTGATTTTCATTCATGAATATATTACCAACGCCTACTATTTTATTAGGAACACACAAATTCGTAAGGAAGTGTTGAATTCAGAAGCAGTCGGTAGCGTTCGACCAGTTCGGCGCTCATGCTTGTTTACAGATATAGATATCTAATAGTTGTTTTGACACGGTAAAGATAGCGCGTCTCCAGGCCGTTTCTGCTCTGTTAGCCGTTACACTGCTAGATACGTTCACCCGGCTGATCCCGGCCGAAAGTTTTCGTTGACCGTGATCTCATTACGCACCAGTGTCCTATTTTTAAGTAGGTCCTAAGTTTAGTGTAGGTTAATTTTGCAACGAAAATATTCGAACCGCGAATACTATCAAAATGTTACGATGTTACATTTTAAGCAATAAAAGTTTACGTGGTGTGTAAATATTGAGATTATTAATGCACGTGTACCACCCAATCGGAGAACAATTTTTGCAGCTAACCAAAGGCTTGTTATACTTTGGACAGTTCACCACTCCGTCACATGGAAGTTTTCGAGGTGGTAATTCAGTAATAAGACCGGCTGTATTTCGAGCGAAATCCTTGCGGTAGCACCAATGGTGCAGCTCGAGCTTAGAGTTAGCAAGGTGTGCAAGCACTGAATAAAACTTTGCAAACGCGGTAAAGACTCAATTTTGTATGAAGTATTAAAAGGACAAATAGTATGAGTTTTTTTACTTATTTTTTCAACATTCGCTTATATTACCTATTATTGAAACTCTTGTGAAAATTTGGCCTGTTATTGCAAAATAACCCTCTACAGTATTAAAAAAACGGGTATATCGCTAACATTGAGAACGAAATCACAATGGTCCACCTAAAAAAATTTTTGTGAATGGTTATTGTTATTTTAAGTTATTGCATAGTTAGGTTGTAAATAGTACGTTTTTTTACATACTTAATCATTTTAAATTGTTAATACTTGATGATGTTGTAAATACTTGATTCGTTTTTTAAATACGCCATAATAAAGTACGTTTTCAAATTA